CAAGGCCATTTAACTTGTTTTAAAATCATGCAATATCTGCCAACATTGTGACATAATTTGGTACAATAATAGAATGACGCAGAAGCAAAGTATTGAGTGATGAGATTAATTTTTCGAGAAAGTAATAAGTTACTTACTCCCTTTAATGTAAAAAAAAATAGTTAGCAACACTGGTCTGCTGAGCTTGTGCTTTGGTAATGTAGCAACAAAGTTTTCTGCTTTAAATAAATATAGTTAATTACTTATTCTTTTTCATTTTTTATTCAGTGTTAGCAAAAATCTAACCTTTATTGAAAATATAATGATTGATAGGAAAAAAAACCTAAATCTTATTTTGCCACAATTATTGGTAACATTAGAAATTTTTAAGTGTGAAAGCTAAATTAAGTATATTCAGATTCATGTTGTATATTTTTTAAGTTGAGTGATTAGGAACACATACATGGTCAGTCCTGTCTTCCTGATTCATTTGGGAGAATATGTGAGTTTAAACACAGGCCAAATTCCCTCAGTCATCTATCATTATAAGAAAGACCAGAGAATATAGCAATGATCTGCGACATAAGGCTGTTGAGCTGCACAAATCAGGAAATGGCTACAAGAAAGTATGGTGGTGGATCTGTGATACTGTGGAGCTGTTTTTATTCAAAGGCCCTGGACAGTTTATTCAGGTACATGGTATCACAGACTCCATCAAGTACTGGCAGAAATAAAATCAAACCCTGACTGCCTTAGCCAGAAAGCTTAAACTGGGCCATAGCAGGACAATGATCCAAAGTACGCCTCAAAATCAACCCAAAAATGGTTCATTGACCACAGAATTAAGGTTCTGCCATGGCTACCCCAGTCCCTTGAATCTGAAAGATCTGGGTAGGTTCAGTAGGGAGAAATGGTCTTAGATCCTTTGCTATATGTTCTCCGGTATCATTACTCATTAAAGGAGAGGATGCAGAGCTGTTATCTTTGCAAAGGAAGGCTGCAGAAAGTGTTAAATGAAGGGGTGCCAATATTTGTGACTGTCACAAACTCACTCCCACACGGTTATAGGGGTTACTCTCTTTATTTTGGAGCTAGCTAGTCATAGTCCGTAATAACCTACTTGTGATTTTACAAAGCCTACCACTGACCCCCAAAACCCCGGATGCCTTTTGGCAACAGAATTGTAAATATATTATTTCTGAACTCGAAATCCAGCCATCTACATTGTTGTAAACTGCAAGTATGCAATTTCAATGTCTCTGGAATAATGGTCAACAACAATCACATTTTTACCTGAAAGCTCACACAAGTCAGCTCCTATTTTGCACCAGGGGCCTGGTGGCAAAGGAGTGGTGATGAGTGGTTCCTTCGTGTGGGTCAGCCTGTGTTCCTGGCAGAAGGCGCAGCCAGACACCCTAGTATTAATGTTTGCCCCATGCCAGGCCACCATACCTAAATTCTTACTCTCTGTCTGCACTTAGTTAGGCCCTGGTGGTCATCATGCAGGCATTCAAGGATCTACTCGTGCTGAGCAGTGGGGACCACAATTTTATCCTCATGCAAGAGCAGTTCCCTTGCCTCAGACAATGATGCTCTAGCAGCATAGTAGCTTTGTAATTTATATGACACAAGGCACGGCCATCCATCTTTGATAAAGTGCATTACCTTCCTGATGTTTGGATCATTCCTAGTAGCTTCTCTGATGTGCTCCAGTTTTGGCTCTGACACAGGCCTTATGCTTACCATTGCTTCCACATAGGTTTTTACATCAGCTTCTGTATCTGAGCTGGCATTGTCGTCAACTGGGTTACGGGACAGTGTGTCAGCCACCACCAGTAACTTCCCTAGAACATGCACAGCCTTGACATTGAAACTCATCAGGCACATAAGTAGCTGCTGGCATCGTAGAGGTGCCTTATCAAGGTCACACATATTAATGAGGGTAACCAGGGGCTTGTGGTCAGTCTGCAGGGTGAATTCACTCAAACCATGGAGATAGCAGGCAAGGCGCTCACAAGCCCACACTGCAGCCAAGCATTCTTTTTCAATTTGTGAATATCTTTGCTCTGCCCCCCCCCGTGAGTGTTCTTGAGCAGAAGGCTACTGGCTGGACCCTGTCCCCATGCATCTGCTAGCATCAGCAGACATAATTGTGGGCTTCTTTACATTGTAGTAGGCCAAGGCTGGGGCTGAGGAAATCATTGTCTTTACTCAGTCGAATGGCAGCTGTTGTGGGGTGTCCACACGCATGCAGAGTTTTTCTCAGTAGATCAGTCAGCGGGTGAAGTTCAGTGGAGAGGCCTGGGAGCAATCCTCCAAGGCAATTTACCATGCCAGGCACTTGTCTCAACTATATAATGTCTTTTGGGGAAGACATCTCTGCAACTGCCTTTACCTTATCGGGGTCAGGTTTAACACCGTCTTTGCTGATAACATGTCCAAATAATCGAAGTTCACTTTTACTAGCGTGATATTTATCACTGTTGAGCTCCAACCCCCAATTCTTGGATTGTCTGTAAGACAGCTTCCAGGTTTCTATCATGTGCAGCTTGGTCTTTCTCATATAACAGAATGTCATCCATTACCACCACGGTACCCTCATGACTCCTTAGTAGGTTGCTCATTCCCTCTGCAAAATCTCAGGCGCAGAGGTAATTCCAAATGGCAGTCGCTCCCAACAGAATCACCCTCTGGGAGTGATGAATGTAGAGTTGCACTGATGCTTCTTCAAGGAGAACACACTTGCCTCAGCCAGCTTTGGGGCTATGTCCTCCAGCGTAGGTAGCATGAACTTCTCCTTCTTGACTGCTTTGTTGAGGTGCTTTAGGTCCACACAAATTTTTATTTTTCCATTTTTCTTTACTACTGGAACCATTGGAGGACACCATTCTGATGGCTCAGTGACCTCACGTATGTTTCTTATGGACTGCATCCTCTGCAACTCCTCATCCAACGTTTGCATCATTGGAAACGGCATTCTACATGGTGTGGCCAGACTGTATGGCCCTACATTGGGCTTTAGTTTTATTTTAACTGGCTTTCAGCTCAAAAGGCCTATTTCACCAAACACTGACCCGATAAGTTCTAACTACTAAGCCCATGTTGCATGCAGCACTCCTACTCAGGAGTATATTATCCATCTACCACAAAAATCCAAAATTTGTAGCTGTAACGGCGCATAGTAATTCTCCTCACTGTCTTGCACAGCCACTGCTCTCACTGTTTGGCTTTTGCATGCTACAGCAAAATGTCACAGTTCGTCACATGTATGGCACTTCTTGTTAAATGCAGGGCATTTGTGTGGACCGTGTGATCTATTGCACCGTGAACAGACTGCTCCCTGGTTCTGCCTGTGCTCTTGTTGGCCCTTCTTATACAGTCTTGTACAGTTATACATGCTGGTTGTCGCACCATTTGAACAGCTTTGTCTAAGGTCAGGCTGCTTTCCATTTGCAATTTCTGAGAAACGTCCTGGTCCGCTATCCCTATCACCCTTCGGCCACAAATCTGCTCTTCTTTCATTGTTCCGATCCAGAGCGGCCATTGAGCAAGCTACTAAATAAACAGCTTGAACACACTTTGAGGTGAATGCTATTCACCAGTTCTGTTACATCAGCCAACAGACCCTTCTCAGAGAGGGAGAGCCATCCTACCAACCTAAAGAGCGTGAGGCCAGTTACCATCACCGGAGGATAGGACCAATGCTTAGATGGTTGCACCATTCGGCAGTCTGTAGCTAGTGAAATTGAACCCAAATGTCAACTGAATTTGGATAACTGGTCGATTATTTGCCAAGGGGGTAGTTATGTTTTCACACATATTAAAAGTAGTTTGATGATCTGAAACATTCAAGTGTGTCCAATGTGCAAAAATCAAAGAAATTGGGACAAATTGGACAAATACTTAATCTATAGTTTATGGAATAATCATGATAAAGACTGACACATTGTGCAGCTCCTGAGGCATGGACAAGAATACCTCACGGGAACTGGCTCAGGGGAGAGGCTTGTAACAGGACACTGAAACTAACCAAGGGACTGAATAGGAAACTAAACTGGGGTGACATGAGACCAGACAGGACAAACAAGTGTGAGAGCAGGAGACTCAACAACGAGTGAATGGGAGACTAGATCGAAGATGGGACAAAAGACGGGACAGGCGACAGGACAAAGGGCTGGTTAAGAGACAGGACATAAGATTGTATATGAGACAGAATTACGGGCAGGACAGGAGATGGAACATGAGATGGGATAAGACCAAGCGAGTTTACAATGACAGGGACTGTGACATTGACAGGAATCGCTACTGAAAAATGAACTGAGACAGGAACAGGGACATAGGCACAAACACATCCACAATAACAGTGACTAGAATAAGACTAGGAACTGGAAACTGACATGGGGAAAACAGAATTAAGAAGGCAGGTAACTGAAACAGTTGGAAAGCCAGCTGAACCTGGAACTGAAAAGGCTTGGTGGCTGGCTAAACAGGGAACCGGAAAGATGAGGAGAATAGTACTTGAACAGGGCACTGGGGCAACATCGCTGAGGTAGGATGCAGGAAGGCTGGTGCTGGAGTGTGATGTTGTGAGGCCGGCACTAGAGCCTATTGCTGCGAGGCCGATGCTGGAGCCAAACAATAAACCAAGACTGGAGAGGCCCTGGGTGCTGGAGCTGCAGCAGCCTAAGTTGCAGGATCTGGAACAGTTCAGGGAGCAGGAGCTGCAGCGAACTAAGGTGCAGGATCTGGAACAGTTCAGGGAGCAGGAACTGGAGCAGCCCTGGGAACAGGACCTGGAGTGGCCCTGGGAGCAGAAACTGGAGAAACAGACTAGGGGGTCAGGAGGCAGGTATATAGGCAGGTCAAGAGACACTGAGACCATGGGCAGGTCAGGATACACTGAAATCATGGGCAGGGCAGGAGACTCGGAGACCACAGCTACACAGATACACAGTCTCACATACATCAGATCTAGGACCGCTTCGGGAAAGCTGCTGCAGTTCTAATCGCCACCAGAGAAAATGCTCCGATGCGGCGATGGGAATGGAGCACAGCACCTCTATGGCCGCGCACCCTCCTGTATGCGTTACGCTAGCAACACTAGCACACTTTTGGCCGTGCACCCTCCTGTATGCATTCCCACCATTGGTGCTGATACCACCAACACTGGCCATGGTGAGACAAGAGGGGCTGTCACTAATTCTAAAAGCCCAGAACTGGCCAGAGAAGCACTGGGTGGCAGAGGTAGTCCAGTTGCTGTGCGGACAGGTCTGGCCACTCCCCCTGTGCAGAAATCTCCTATCACAAGTGCAAGGGGGAATTTTTTGCCCCTATCTGGAGCGTCTAGCTCTTTGGGCTTGGCCCGTGAAAAGTCCAACCTAACTACCATTGGTTTGCCTGATAACGTTATAGCGATGATTCAGAGTGCCAGGGCCTCATCGACTCGACCCCTTTACAAGCATAAGTGCCGAGTTTTTGAGGAGTGGTGTGCGAAATCACAAGCGGTGCCTTTTCAGTGCTCTATCCTTGTGATTTTGTCTTTCTTATAGGAGCTCTTGGAGAAGGGAAAAGCTTTTTCCACTATTAAAGTGTATTTGGCTGCATTATCTTCCTACCATGTGGGCTTCGACGGCACAACAGTGGGACAGCACCCCCTGATATGTCGTTTTATGAAGGGAGTGTGCCGACTCCGCCCAGTATCCAAGTCACTCACTCCTTCATGGGATCTGTCGTCGGATTTGGAGGCTCTAGCATACCCCGCTTTTTGAGCCTCTACATGACATGGATCTCAAAACATAATTAATGAAGACAGCCCTTTTATTGACACTGGCATCAGTGAAACGGATCAGTGAAATCCATGCTTTTTTCGGTGCACCCAACCTGCACTCAGTTTGCACCAGCGGATCTGGAGGTCGAGTTGAAACCTAACCCTGCCTTTATTCCTAAAATTGTTGATTCATCAGCGACGTTTCCCCCTCTTGTGCTGACGGCTTTTTACCCCCCGCCATTTGCTTCTGATGATCAGCGGCGATTGCACATGCTGCGTCTGTCCCACTGGATAGTGGGGGCTATAGCTCTAGCTTACTCCAGCAAAGGCATGCAGCCTCCCGCTGGCTTGCGGGCACATTCCACGAGGGCAATTGCAACATCCTGGGCCCTGTCTTACCTTTACTGGGTTTTACGGGCTGGATGTCACTGCGCCTACTCTGGAGCATACTGTGTAAATGCATGCCGACCTGAGGGACGGGGCCCACCGGGCAGGGAATGATTCCTCTCTGACGGAGCAGATTTTCATGGCTTGGGGCGGCCAGTTTTTGATGGGAGCTTGTCTGGCAATAGGGAGTCGACATATCCCATAGTAAGATACTGAAACGAATGCTTGAAAGAGAACTTTAGGTTACAAACGTAACCTGTTTCTCTGATAGCATGAGTGAGGTATTCCACTCCTCCCTGATGCGCACATCCCTGCTGCCAGCCAATAGGATATGGCTTATTGATACAAGTGCTTCTGAAGACTACGCAGAGGGGTGTACCCATAGTGAGATACCTCACTAGTGCTATCAGAGAACAAGGGTTACGTTTGTAACCTAAAGTTTTATTTTGAGTGCATGTTAGCCAGCTGGCTACATTAGTTAACAGGTGTTGACAACTGGCTTACGGTCAAGGGCTGGAGGGGAAACTTCCCCGTTGTGGGACTAAAGAGCTATCTATGTTCTTCATAAAAATAAGTGTGAGTGTACATCACATTCTATTTCTGGTTATTCAGATTTTTTTTTTTCCTGTCTTGCTTGTAGTATATGCAGTGAACTCCTCTCATCACAATCGTTTGATGAAATTTTTGACATTAAGCCATTTCGGTTTGCAGTGAGGTTTTTGGCTTTGTCCCCTTTTCAGAAGATGATTCCCAATAGAAATAATAAAGTAGTGTTGAATATTAGATTAGTCACTGTTGTAATGGACCAACTAGCCAATCATATATCAGTGGGAAGACTTATGCTTAGGTATAAAGAGACATGACAGAAGGCAAATCTCCCAGTTGAGCATTACTGAACTCCACAGGTGGATCAGTCCCAGTTGGCAGATCTGCATTCAGATGAATAACACAGAGTATCAGCAAAACATCACAGTTCAATACTGCTTTCCTGACAATAATGCATCTTGCAGAAAGGAGGTGCGAACAGGCCCTGCTTATATATTTTTGTTAATTTTTCTTTCATTTGAATCTATGTGTGCTGTGTTTCTGAACCTGCTGGTGATCATCTCCATCTCTCACTTCAAGCAGCTCCACACTCCAACCAACCTGCTCGTCCTCTCTCTGGCTGTGGCAGATCTTCTCGTGGGGTTGTTTGTTATGCCTGTGAATATTATGCTATTTATAGACTCTTGTTGGTACCTTGGAAAAATGGCATGTTCTATTTTATCATTGATCAGTAATCTCTCAATATCAGCATCTGTCTGTAATCTAGTTTTTATTGCAGTGGATCGGTACATTGCTATCAGTGACCCCCTACTTTATTCCAGTAGAATTACAGATGGTAAAATATCTGTGTGCATAATTCTAGGCTGGTCTTTTTCTCTAATGTATATTATTATTGTAATGCATTGTAATGAGCACCTCTCTCCCTCTCAAATGTCCATTAGATGTTATGGAGAGTGTGTAATCTATGTTAAATATTCATGTTTTATTGTTGACCTTGTCTTTTCTTTTCTAGTTCCTTGCTGTCTTATACTGGTCTTGTATTTACTGATTTTTAAAGTGGCAAGACGTCAAGCTAAAGCTGTTAGAGCTGTGACAAATACTGCCTCACACAAGCATGGAGAAAAGGCTTCAAGCTCTTCTGAAACCAAAGCAGCAAAAACATTGAGCATTGTCATATTTGTTTATCTTGCTTGCTGGATACCGTTATATTTAAGTTCTCTGTCAGTTGAAAGCTTGTCATCTTCATCAATGGTGTGGACTGTGTTTATCTGGCTAATATACATGAACTCTTCTGTGAATCCACTAATTTATGGCATTTTCTATCAGTGGTTCAGAGTATCAGTTAAGTATATTGTAACCTGTAGAATATTTGAATCATCATCTTCAAGGCTTATACTGTTACCTGAACATGTTTAATTTTTATACTGAAACCAAAGCTGAGATCACTTCACAGTCATTGACCACGTTTAGAAATGTGAATAATGATTGTGGAAGCAGAGAACCTCCTTCAAGAGGGAGGGGAAGCTCAGAGCAGTGGCTGTTAGGCCTCTGCAGGAAGAGATGCTACTCATTTGCTGTTTACTTACTTGACTTGTAGATAATGTCTTTGTAATTTTAGCTCACTATGTTTTATTATCACATCAGAACCCAGAACTATATAAGATATCTGATCTGATGTATTATAAGTTTTTTGTGTGTAGCATTTTTCACAAGCCATTTACAGTTTTTAGTGTAATTGGAAAAAAAATATATATACAGTATGCTTTACTATACAAAGGTCTGACATAATGCTGACATAATTTGTTAAAAAAATATATATTTTAAGAAGTAAAAATCAGATCAAATCAGAAAAAGTCCATATTAAATGTTAAATGGAAAGCAGCAGCCTGGCTTATCTGACCATAGCAAATAAATAAATAAATAAATAAATAAATAAATAAATAAATAAATAAATAATGTCTTTTGTTTGTTTTGCCTAAATTAAGTGTTTAGATTAATCAATGAATCAATAAAATAATTTAAATACAAATTAGCTTCTTAAACAATCATTATTAGCTGCCCTAAACACATTGTCTGTTTGCAATATACCCATAAAGCTTTGTTATACTGTACTCACATATGTTTGTAAAAATAACATGGTAATGACTTAGTTTAATTCAGTTCTGAGACTTTACAACTAGAAGGGTGTCCAGAATTTGCATATGCCATGACATGCAGGTGTTTTGTTGTGACCTTGTCAAACTTTGCTACAGAGCAGATCAAGGTTCTGGCTCGTGACCCAGTCAAACTCAGCTACAGTGGTGAACAAGGTTGTGAACTAGTCAAGCTCTACTACATTGGAGAAAAGGGTGCCAGCTCATGACACAGCAGTGAAAAAGATCCTGAATCGTGACCAAATCACACTCTGCTAAAGCAAAGAACAGCATCCCAACTAGCTGGCTAGACAAATTCTGCTACAGTGGTGAACGGTGCCCCTGCTCAGGGGCTGGTCAAACTTCACTATAATAGTAAAAAAAGTGCCCCTTCACAAACTCAGCTGGTGAAGTGCTAAGTCTCCAGGTCCAAGCCTAGGCAAACCTTACCACTGTGGTGGAGAGTGTCGAGGCTTGTGGCTTCATTGTCAGTGGGACACCTACACAAGATTGGGACACCAGGATAAGATCGGGACACCTGGACAAGAGGGCAATGTTAGTCCCCTAGTGTATAAAGCAAAGTCCATAAAGGCATGGTTGGGTGAGTGCTTAGTCAGAATCAGAATCACCACTTTATTCTCCTTTACAAGAAAATAAAGAAGATGAAAGATAATAAAAAGCCATTGCAAAAAAGATCTAAAGAGATATGAATATTTGTAGAAATATAAGTCTGAAAAGACATATAATAGAAAATCTATTATGTATAGAATTTTACAAAATAATATAAATATTTTAAGGCCAGTGGCAAATGGGGGGACCAATTCCATATGAATGCCTATGGATTTAGAATGGAATGTCATAAAAGCTTCTGTGGGTGTAATGTGTAGGTGTCCAAATACCTTTGTCCAGGTGTATGTGTGTGTGCATGTGTGTGTGTGTGTGTGTGTGTGTGTGTGTGTGTTTAGTGATTGCTCAGTCAGAATCAGAATCACTACTTTATTTTATTTTCATCATCGGAGTCCCTTTTGAGAGGATTAAGATGGACATTGTTGGGCCACTGCCAAAATCAGGCCGGAGACATGAGTATATCTGTTTCTGCTCTGCAGTCGGGTTGGAATACCTAAAGTCATTATCACAGACTAGGGAACCCCATTCGTCTCTTGCCTCATAGTTGATCTCTGCCGGCTCCTCCAGGTAAAGCACCTACACACATCAGTCTATCATCCCCAGACTGATGGCCTTGTGGAACAGTTTAATCAGACATGCTAAAAAAAGTGATAAGCCAAGATGGATGTGAATGGGACTTGCTGATCCCTTATGTAATCTTTGCCATTCGTGAGGTGCCCCAGGCCTCCACAGGGTTCCTCCCCTTTGAGTTATTAAATGTTTGGAGACCTCGGGGGTCCTTGACATGGTTGGGAGCAACAACCTTCCACCTTTTGCTCTGTTATTGAATATGTGAAGGAGATGCAACAACAGATAGATGCAGTCTCATCCATCATCCAGGAACACCTAGAGGAGGCCCAAAGAGCCCAGCAGCAGGTCTACAACCTCCCAGCCCAGTCTAGATAGTTATAACTGGGGGACAGTGTCCTTGTCCTGGTACCCACAATCACCTGTAAGCTATTAGCCACAGGCAAGGGCCCTTTACTGTAAAGGAGAAGCTGGGCCCAGTCAACTATCACCTCGAGCACCTGGGTAAAAAAAAAAAGAACAAACATACAATGTTAACCTCCTTAAAAAAATGACTGAACCCATCCGGGTATCATTGAACCCTCTGACAGCCTGTGGTCCAGCCCAATAGTTATGGTACCCAAGCCTTACGGGACATGGAGGTTCTGCAGTGATTTCTGGAAACTAAATGAAGTTTCGCAGTTTGACTTATACCCTCTGCCCCGAGGGGATGAAGATTGGTTGGGAAGGCCCATTTCATCTTCACTCTGGACCTCAGCAAGGGCTACTGGCAGGTTTCCCTAACTCCTGTGGCATGCCCAAAAACTGCTTTCTCCACCCCCACTTGGCAATGACAATAGCGGGTTCTTCTGTTCAGCCTACATGGAGTCTCGTGGTTGACCTCTGCCCAGTGGGGGTGGAGAAAGCAGTTTTTTGGTGGGCTCCAGCCACCTTCCAGCACGTTTAATTGCATTTGACTAGTGCATCGCTATCAGTGACCCTCTGCTTTATTCTCATAGACCCACTGTTTGTAAAACATCTACGTTTATATTTCTAGACAGGTGTTTCTCTTTACTGTATGTTATTATTTTGATGTACATTAATGATCACCTCACTCCATCTCAGATATCCACTAAATGCTATGGAGAGTGTGTGCTGGTTATGTAGCCTGTGGGACACCAGGTCCCATTTGGGAAGGAAACTGGAAGGGCACTAGGACCCAGCAGGAAGGCTAGTTTTCAGAATTGGGAGCAAACACGAATATCTTGAGCTCTCTCGAGACCCGTAGTATGCCGGCATTGTTAAACAACGTGCTCAGAACGCCACTGTAGTCTGGAGTTTCCGACTTTTACCTGTGTGTAGGCACTGGAAACGGTTTGTATGATTACTTCAGCAAGTTTATTGATATGTGCACTGTGGTAGTTTTTCTGTGTAGAAGCTTAAAGGGTTGTTTCATTGATTCTGTAGCTGAAAGAAGTCTTGGTAGTTTGCCCTGCTTAAACAGTCAGAAAGATGAGATACAGGTAACTACTTTCAATTGTTAAGCAATGCTGCTGGGGGTTTTAATGTGTTTTATATACAATGGAATGGCTTAGCATTTGTTCTAGTCCCAAATGCTACAGTGTTAGTGCTTCTTATTGTGGGATATTTATTATTTTTAGTTAATTATGGAGGCTGGTGACTGAAGGAGAGCTTCCAGAGGGTGTCAGCAGTAACAGTTACTGAAATAACCTAAAAAGAGGTCATGGGTATGCCTATTTCACACAGTGCTTGCAAGAATCACTGGGGCTAAGGCTACAAGGCTATGGGTGCTAATATGGTTTACAGCTTAACTTTACTGGAGGTTTAGGCTGCTGCAGCATTTATATATATATATATATATATATATATATATATATATATATATATATACATATATTAAAGCAGCGAAAACATTAAGTTTAGTCATTTTTGTTTATATTTCTTGCTGGATACCTTACTATTTATGTTCTCTCTCAGTTGGAAGTGTCACATTTGTGTCATGTGGACTGTGTTTATCTGGCTGATTCTCCTTAACTCATCACTGAATCCACTAATATATGCTATTTTCCATCACTGGTTCAGAGCATCGGCTAAACATATTTTAACCTGTAGAATATTTGAAATCTCATCTTCTAGGCTTAATTTGTTTTGTGAATGTGTTTAATTTAACTGTGTACAACTGTGTTTAAGTGGGGTATAAGTGTGAGAGGGAACAAAGGACACACATGGGTATATATGCTAACACAGAAGACAAGGAACACCTGAGACTGATGAGAGGGCAGGGCTAGAAAACAAGAAACAGGTGAAGGCTGAAGACAGTGAACAAAACACGAAACTGAATAGAAAACTGAATTGTGGGACAAACAATGAGTGAATGGGAGACTACATCTAAAAGGGGAGGAGACAGAAAGAGGAGACAGGACATGAGGTGAGACATGAGACAGGACTACGGGCTGGACAGGAGACAGAACTACAGGCTGGACAAGAGAAAGAACATGAGATGAGATAGGACCAAACAAGTTTACAGTGACAGGGACTGCAACACTGACAGGAATGGACACCAAAAAACCAACTGAGACAGAAACAGGAGCACTAATGGTAATAGGCATGAACACATACACAACAACATTGACTGGAATAGGACTAGGAACTGGAGACTGAACTGACATGGGGAACTGGAAAGATGAGGAGAATAGTACTTGAACAGGGCACTGGGGCAACATCACTGAAGTGGGACGCTGAAAGGCCGATGCTGGAGCAGGGTGCAGGGAGGCCAGTACTGGAGTGTGATGCTGGGAGGCAAGCACTGGAGCCTGATGCTGCAAGGCTGGTGCTGGAGCGTGACAAAGGCTAAGCCACATTGACATCCTTGAGTACAGATTGAGTCATACCAACATTCAGTGACGTCACTGGGTGCAGACTGGGTCACACTAGCATCCGGCGGACCTGCAGCAAAATTATGAAGTGCAGATGCTCCTGCAGCAATGTCCTCAGAGGCAGGTGGGCCTGCAGCAACAACCTCAGAGGCAGGTGGGCCTGCATCGGTGTCTTTGGAGGCAGGTGGCTGCCTACTAGAAATCTCCAGAGCACAGTGTGGTTCAACAGGGGCTGTAAACATTCATTCATTCATTCATTCATTTCTTTCATCATCTGAAATGTCTTGATCCAGCTAGGGCCAAAGTAGCAGTAGGGAAAGCAAAGAATTCCAAATGACCCTGTTTCCCACAACTTCCTCCAGCTCATTCTGGGTGACCTTGAGTAGCTCCCAGGCCAACTTGTAGATATAATGCCTTCAGCAGATCCCAGGACAACCTCGAGGTCTCGTCCTTGTCAGCCGTGCCTGGTAAACCTCCAATGGGAGATGGCCAGCGGGCATCTCACTGAGATGCTCAAACCACCTCAAGTGGCTCCTCTCAATGTGGAGGAGTAGTGGCTCTACTTTAAGCTCCTCCCGATTGACCAGACTCCTCAATCTATCAAGTACTGTGTATCCTGTCACCCTGCAGAGAAAGCTAATTTCTGCTGCTTGTATCCATAATCTCATTCTTTCAGTCATTACTCAAAGGTCATGACCATAGGTGAAGGTTGGGATGTAGATGGACCAGTAAACAGAAAGTTTTGCCTCTTGGCTCAGCTCTCTTTTTACCACTACAGTTTGGTACAGTGACAGTTACTGGTGCCACCTGTCCAAGCCTGTGACTAGTCTCACAATCCCTCGTCTCATTACTTGTGAACAAGACCCCAAGATACTTAAACTCCTCCACCTGGGGTAGGTCCTCTTCCCTTACCAAGAGTGGGCATGCCATCCTTTTCTGGGCTAAGACCATGAACTCAGACTTGGAGGTGCTCATCCACATACCACACACTTTACACAGCTGCAGTGAGTGCCGGAGGCATCCATGTGATGTAGCCAAAAGGACAACATCCTACACAAAAAGCAGAGACACCACCTTACAACCTCCACACATAATGCCTTCCTGACCTTGGCTATGCCTTTACAACTTATCCATCAATATCACAAACAAAAATAGAAGTGGAGACAAGACACAACCTTGGCAGAGCCCAACACTCACATTGATTTTGACTTGATGTAGAGTATACAGACAAAGCTGTCACTGTGGGAGCACAAGTCAAGTCAAATTTATTTGTATAGCGCTTTTTACAACTGATGTTGTCACAAAGCAGCTTCACAGAAATCCAATTAAGGACAAAGTTTTAACATGAAATGTAAATCCTCCAGGTGAGCAAGCCAGTGGCGACAGTGGCAAGGAAAAACTCCCTCAGAGCTGGGGAAGAAATCTTGGGAGGAACCAAGGCTCACAAGAGGGGACACATTCTCCTCTGGTCAAACTACCTACAAAATTATTATACTACTAATTTTAATAGTAGTAGTAGTAGTAATAGTTAAGAGTCCACTTCAGTGTAGGGTGGGCAGCTAGTCCAAGGCAGGTGGCGGTAGCTGGGCAAGTGGCGGTGACTGGGGCGTGGGCAACTGGTCTGAAGCGGGTAGCAGGAGAGCTCGACAGACAATCATCCATCAGTGTCCGGCCGGACAGGTGGGCAGTCGTTTACTCGGAAAAAAGGTAGGGAGATGGAGTTAGTTTTGTTCTGTATGGGTGTATGTATAATAATATGTAAAACATTTCCAGAGTGTGGCTAATGACTCCGGCAGATCTGACTATAACAGCTTAACTAAAAGGAGAGAACCAAAAGGGCACACAGATATGGGAGCACCCTGAAACAATTTGGCACAGAGTTCGAATGGCCCAATAGTGGCCCTGGCACCCCATACACCTGGAGGACCTGGTTGTAAATCTTCTTCAAGTGCACAAAACACATGTAGACTGGGTTGGCAAACTCCCATGCCCACTTAATAATCAGTGCAAAGGTGAAAAGCTAGTCCATTGTTCCACAGCCAGGATGCAATATGCATTGTTCCTCCTCAATCCAAGTTTTGACTATTGGTTGGAGACTCTATTCCAGCACCTTGGCATAAGCTTTCCCAGGGAGGCTGAGCGGTATGATACCCCAGTAATTGGCACACACCCTCTGGTCCCCTTTCTTAAATATGTCAGTCCAAGGGTACTGTTCCCAAGGTCCATGCGACCTTGCAGAGGTATGTCAACCTACTTACCAACTACCTCAGTAACCTCCACCAGGGAAAAGGGGTCTGGCACTCCAGAGGCCTCTGGCCCTGACTCCAGTGACGAAGGCATGTCTCTTGGGTTTAGAAGTTCCTTAAAGTGCTCTTTCCATTGACCAGCTGTAAACAAAAAGTCAAAAATGTCCTTGGGAGGCAACTCGAAACTAAACATAGGGTGAAACAGTGTGATTGCAGCATTTTTTTGTTTCTTCTTCTTCTTGACCTAGGGGGGTCTTCCTCTAATACTAGGAAATCCCATCACAAGAAAAGCATCATTATCAGCCGCAGTGATGTCCTCCAGTGCAGCTGAGGAAGAAAACTCCAGCTTAGCACTGGGCAGCATAGCCTTAAACTGGGACAAGACACAAAAACCATCCTGAAGTCTGATCCTCTGTTTATGGGTCCATATACTTGGTGTACCAATTGGAGAGTCAGCATTCTGTAATGCGTAGGCTGGCAAGGCAGACAAGGAGGCAGGGTACAAGTGTGAGTGTCCTTTTAACTAACACAACAGCTCCTTAGTTTCAGTAAAGGCTAATATTACGTTACAGTATACAAGGACATTTTAGACAATTATTTGCTTCCAAGTTTGTGGCAGCAGTTTGGGGAAGGCCCAAGATGAGTCTGGTATGAAGGAACTCCAGTGGCCTGCACAGAGCACTAATAATAAAATAAATATAATAATAATAATAATAATAATAGTAACATTCTTAAACTCAAAGATGCTTTATGATTCTAAATAACAGCACAATAAAACCGAAAAATTGTAGAACCTTAACGAAAAGTGTCCCAGCTCGCAGCCTAGTCAAAAACTGCTGTTGTGGTGTGACATCTCTGAATTGAGGCTGAGTGAAACAGCTGTCATGGTGCACAGTCATCAATTTCAATCTACTGCAGTAAAAACAGTATAAGCTCCAGGCCTAATCAAATTCTGATGTCATGTTGCAAAGTCCCCAGCGCACAACCCAGTCAAACTCCTAGGCAGACTCTGTTACCACAGTTAGTGTCCTTGCAAATGGCCTAGTAAAACTACACTACCATGGTGAAAAGTAAAGTGTTCCACCTTGTGGGTTACTTAATCTCCACTGTCATGGTAAAAAGTGCTCTAGCTTACAACCTATTCAAACTTTGCTACCACTGTAAAAGTATCATGGCTAGCCGGTTATTCAAACTAAACCATTGCGATAAAAAGGTTTGCTAGTTAAATGGATAGTTAAACTCCACTACTGCAGTGGCTTGCACCCTAGAATCATTCTGCTACCACAGGGAAAAGTGTCCCGGCTTAAATTCATAAGAGCATTTCATATACAATCTTATCTAGAGCAACTTTTTGGATATGAGCAACACTTTTATAAGAAGTCAAAAACCTTTGAGTTTATCTGAAGGTGTTCCTGGACCTCACTGAACCCAAAACAACCCAACAATAGCAAATACTGAGCTTCTCTTGAGAAAAGGCAGATACAAGGCAACACCTTAGTTATACATCAGTAGAGTACCATTAGACCTCCTCTGTCTGAATCTTCTCACAGCAAGATCTGCTGGAAAGCAGCTTCAGAGAAATCTGTTTGGGACAAAACACATCAGACAGTGCTGTTCAAACAAACGGCTTCTCTCTGCGCCCTCAAGACTGCATGGACACTACCAGCAAGGAAAAGAGAGATAACATTTGTTTCTTAACCAGGGACTCATGATACACTAAATTTGATATCATCATGAAATCTTGCACACCAGTGCATGACGGCCTCACAAACAGATGTTGTCCTTTCTACCACTCTTGTAAATTTTTAGCAGTTTTACTCACTATATCTCACCAAATGCTTATGCTACACTCAATGACCTGTACACATACAAGAAAACAGCTACCTGAACACACTCAGTGGTAACATCTCACACCACCGCTGTCAACAATCCTGATTTAGTAAGATTTTTAAAATGTTACATTTCAAACCAAATCACAACTATTTGATCTAATTTCTGTGACATACAGCCATTTCGGTTTGCACTGAGGTTTTTGGCTTTGTCCCCTTTTCAGCAGATGATTCCCAATGGAAATAATAAAGTAGTTCTGAATATTAGATGAGTGACTGTTGTAATGGACCAACAAGCCAATCATATATCAGTGGGCAGACATATGCTTAGGTATAAAGAGACATGACAAAAGGCAAATCTCCCAGTTGAGCATTACTGAACTCCACAGGTGGATCAGTCCCAGTTGGCAGATCTGCATACAGATGAATAACACAGAGTATCAGCACAACATCACAGTTCAATACTGCTTTCCTGACAGTACTGCATCTTGCAGAAAGGAAGTTCAAACAGGCCCTGCTTATATGTTATTGTTCATTTTTCTCTCATGTGTATCTGTGTGCACTGTGTTTCTGAACCTGCTGGTGATCATCTCCATCTCTCACTTCAAGCAGCTCCACACTCCCACCAACCTGCTCATCCTCTCTCTGTCTGTGGCGGATCTACTTGTGGGATTGATTGTTATGCCAGTGAAAGTAATGAGGCTGATTGACTCTTGTTGGTATCTTGGAATAGTGGCATGCATTGTTTCTGAAATAATCATTGGCCTTTCGATGTTTGCATCTCTCAGTAGTTTAATTTTCATTGCAGTTGATCGGTACATTGCTGTCAGTGACCCTCTTCTGTATTCCAGTAGAATCACAGTTTGTAAAATGTCTGTATTCATATTCCTTGGCTGGTCTTTCTCTCTGTTTTATATTGTAATTTATTTTTACTTTAATAATCATCTTCTGCCGTCTCAGATTTACATTAGATGTTATGGTGAGTGTGTAGTATTTCTAAAATATTCTTGGTTGGTTATTGACCTGGTGATTTTTTTTCTAGTCCCCTGCTCCGTTATACTGATCTTGTACTCAATTATTTTTAATGTGGCAAGACGACAAGCCAAAGCTGTTAGAGCTGTCATGAATATAATCTCACAAAAAGTTTCAAGCTCTTCTCAAATCAAAGCTGCAAAAACACTAGGAATTGTAATATTTGTTTATCTTGCTTGCTGGATACCTTATTATGTAAGCTCTCTGTCAGTTGAAAGTGTTACGTCTTTGTCGATGGTGTGGACTGTGTTTGGGTGGCTAATATGCATTAACTCCTCTGTGAATCCATTAATTTATGCCATAGTCTACCCATGGTTTAGAGAATCAGCTAAGTATATTTTATCATGTAGAATATTCGAATCCTCATCTTCAAGGTTTAATTTGCTTCCCCAGCATTTTTAACTTCAGACTGGATTCCTGCTGAAAAACCACTTCACAGTTATTATGCCCAGATTTAGGACATATTCTTAGACAAAGCATAGAAACTACTTTTGCTTTATTATTGTAGATTTAGACTGCTTTACACAGCACTGTTAAATGTGATTTTCTAATATTTAATAGAACTAATGATGGATAATAAATAATAATGAAGGAAAGGCAAAGATGATTTTACTTTACAGCCAACTGTGGGAGATAAATGCCTTGCTTTTGATCCCTCAGACTGCCTTTTAATGTCTAAGTAAGATTTTAAATTTTCTGATTAGAGTTCCGAGTTTAAAGTTATGTAAGACATGTTTATCAGATCTGATGTGCTTATTTGAAATTGTACTTTTTGTTGCTAAAGTCTTATTAATGCTATTTGTAAACCATATATATATATATATATATAGGGATGAATAAAGGATCACAAGGTCATTCACCTTCTGCATAAATTTATGGCCAAGAATCAAACCCATGCCTTCTTGCTGTGAGGTAATAGTGCTACCACTGTGCCACCCTACAACAATCTCCCAAAAAAAAACACATTCAATGCAGGGTTACAGGTATATGTCTAGCTTGGGGATGGTGTTGAGACTGAGGTTATCTACACAAAACTGGCAAGTACCGTGTTTCTTAACCAACACAGCTGCTTCTGCTCAGGGGCTACTAGATGATAGACTAGATTGCAATATATGCAGCCTGCACCAATGCGTCAAATGGTCAACCATGTAGTTGTCAGTGTGGGGCTGAACATATGGGGGCATCTTGTGGCATTAGGGCAGGGATGTCAAACTGGGGATCGTCCGAGCCAAAGTGCTGTGGAGATTAGAGTTTACCCTCACCTAACACTCTGAATTCAGTTCATGAAGGCCTTGCTAATTAGCTGATGAGCTGAATGAGGTGTGTTAAATGAGGCAGTGTGCTGAATCCATTGATTCTCAATCCAGTGCTGGCAACAACTTCAATAGACTATTATTATACACACCCACCACACTCACCTGCTATCAGCTGGCCACCAATGTAAGTAGTGATGTAAAACTGAATTTCAGATGATTGATGGAAAGGACAAACTAGCTATTCATATGTCAAGAGGTATACGTTCATATGTTTCATATGTTTAGTTTTGAGGTATAAAACACAAAAAGCCAAATCTCTCAATTCAACACTGGATGACACAACCAGATCGTGTCCTGCTGGCAGATCTGCATTTGAGATGAGTGACTGAGTATAAAGGACAATGTAGCCACTCGTATGTCAGTGGGAGGATTCATGCTTAGGTATAAAGTAGCATACCACAAGGGCAAATTTAACAGTTCAACATTACTGAACAACACAGTTTAAATTGGAGATTTATATTTATTTCAGGTGGAAAATAAATGTAGATTATAAATAAATGTAGAAAATAGATTGATCAAAGCATCTCAGTTTAATACTGCTTTCCTGAAAACAACTTATCTTGTAGAAAAGAAATGTAAACAGGCCCTTTGAATATATTGTTCATTTTTCTCTCATGTGTATCTGTGTGCACAGTGTTTCTGAAACTTCTGGTGATCATCTCAGTCTCTCACTTCAAGCAGTACTTCAAACAGAGTTTCCTTGTACTGGAAATTAAACACTATGCATTAAAAGGTGAGGGAAAAAAAAAAACACTTTACTAAACATTAACAAATACAGTGGACTATATAATCAAAGTCCATTATTTACACACTGTTTGCTTTATTTGTAGTTTTAGAATATATTAGACAACACTATAAAACATGGTGTATTCAAATTTCATAGGAAAAATAATGATAGTGGTGAGGCAAAGATGTTTAGCCTTCAGGTCAGTTGAAGTCTTTAATCACTCAGATGACCTTAATATCTTTGTCATTATATTTCCTGTTAAGAGTAAGAGTTTACAACATTTTGAATGATGAAAGACATTTATTGAATCTGGTCTGTTTGTGTAATTTTATTTTGTGTGGTATAAGGCATTCAATCTTATTAATATTCTCTGTAAAACTTAAATATCCATAAACAATTATTTAAATGTTATATTTCTAAAAAGCTTTAGCACTTAGAAATGACAATTTGAAACCAGATAAAAATACATAAATCAACACCATATAGGGAACAACTTTGTTTTACTTTCAATTATAATATTTACTGCAGTTTGATCTATTTTTAGTTAGAAAAACCAACAGTTGTCAATTCATAATTTTGTCACCTAAGCATTTTCTTTGACATGTGATACAAATGCCACAAATCCCACCTATTATTATGGCCTTGAGGAAATATAATAGATCACAGTGGAGGTACAGTATGCCATTCACCAGGAGGGGGCCTGGATGGTGCAGTTGAAGAGATGGTGGATCTGGGTCAAAGAAATCAAATTCCCAGAAATTCCAGCACTAATAGGCACTCACCATGCACACCTGCTGGGCTTAGCTTAAAAGCCCACACCAGCAACAATTCACTGTCACAACTTTTTACACAGGGCTTATGACTGTGTAATCAATCTTCTCTTTGGCTCCACACCACCAAAGGCCTGACTGTTTGCATTCTCACCTCCCAGGTGCACCGCTATGGATGCTTACATTCAAGAGGCCCTGGAGTCAGGGTTTATTAAGTCACCATCTTCGTCCACTGGGCCAAGGTTCTTCTTTATCAGCAAGAAGTATGGGGGGCTCTGCTCCTGCATCAATTACCAGGAGCTAAATGCCATCATGGTAAAAGGCTGCTATCCCCTGCCCCTAATGTAGACGGTCTTTGAAGCATTACAGAAGGTGTCCATTTTCACCAAGATTCTTACTAACTAACTTAATCCACATAAGGCAAGACAACCTTCATCACCCTCTTTTATGAGTATTGGGCAATGCCCTTTGGCCTCATGAATGTGCCAGGTCTTCAAACGCTTCATAAACAAGGTGTTGAGAGAGGCCCTGGAAAAAATATGTATATGTCTACCTCAACGATACACTCATCTACAGTTGGTCACTTGAGGAACATGTAGGACACATCAGGCGGGTTCTTCAATTGCTCCTTGAGAATCGTCTCTTACCCAGAAGACCCCAGATTATTTTTCTACCTTAATCACATACTACATACTAAGTAAGTACTTTGCCACATGTGCCTAAACTTGCACACAGCTATATAGATGTTAAGCATGTTCCTCAGTGCTCAGCTAAGACTGTCATGAGGAAAACAAAAACAAAAAATCTGAAAATGCACATAATAAATTGTAATGAATTCCATATTGATATGTATATTACTACACAGTTTTATCCCTAACTGATTATCAGCACAAACATGGAGTCCTGAAGTCAATTAAACTGTTAATTGGTAAAACATGTATCTGTCACTTGATAAGGTAGCATCTTGTGTTATCTAGGTGTTCCTTCCTAGGTGTGGTGTGTAAACATAGATAAATAGTAAGATGAACTCCATTCATAAGTCTGCAAGTGCATTTTTTTTTCCTTTTTAATATCATCTTCCAAAGACATAAAAACTACTTGAACTCCACAATTCTGTGATGGCCGTAAAGGCCCTGTCTCTTAGCCTAGTCAAGCTCTGGTGCAAAGTCCCAAACTCCGTTACCGTGTCCTAGCCAAACTGTGTTACCGTGGTGAAAAATGCCTCTGCTCCCATACTAGTCAAACTCTGATACTATGGTGGTATTTGTCCCAGCTCGAAGCCTAGTCCAGCTCCATTACCACAGTAATAAGTGTCTCTGCTCACAGTCTATTCAAAATCTGTTAACAAGATGATAATGTCCTAGCTCGCAGCCTAGACAAACTCTGTTATCATGGTGATAAACGATCCAGTTCGCAGCCTAGTCAAACTCAGTTACAGCTCACAGCTTTATCAAACTCCATTACTATGGTGCAAAATCCCATCTAAAACTCGTCTATTTGCAGAAAGGAAAACTACTTTGTGCAAGACAAACACATCTGTCAAGACAGGCACAGTGGAATGTATTGATACTTTTTTTCTTCTTCTAATAACAATAATATATATACCAATCAGGCATAACATTATGACCACCTCCTTGTGTCTACGCTGATTGTCCATTTTATCAGGTCCACTTAATATAGATGCACTTCTACAATTACAGACTGCAGTCCATCTGTTTCTCTGCATGCTTTGTTATACAGATCCTCTCCTCCATAACCTAAAGGCGCTCCGCTAGGCCATACTGAATGATGTCCTCAGGAGGCGGAAGTGGAGGGGGTAGTTGCCACTCAGGTGCTTCCTCCTGGCCAACTAAACTCTCCTCCTCATCCGACACGATGTACAGGTGGCTCAAAGTGTCAATGATCTCAATGAAGTCATCTCTTTGGGTGACGAATAGTCCAGCTGTGAAATCTAGTAGTGGCGATGTCTCAGCCCCATCTCTGACCGCAGGGTTGCCATAGCACACAAGACACAGACACAAACACAGTTAGCACCAACAGCAATAACCCAGATGGTCCCTGTTCGGGCACCACTTTGTAATGATTTGCCTAGAGAACCCACTAGGTAATTAGCTACAAAACGAATGAGGGGGATACCATCTGGGATGATGTAAACGCTATGGTGTTCAGTGATATATTGAGGCAGCCAAAGAGGTGAGTAATGTGACCAACAGAGCCACAATGAAACAGGAAGTATCTGAGACAATTTTTATCTAAATGTAGAAAACACAATAGAGACTTGATGAAATGTTGCTTGGGCACTTCCCTGAATAAAACCCCATTCTTAAAAACAAAGCGAATCCGGTCTTGCCTCACTTTTGGGTTTTTGGCCTCTTCTCATAGTGGCTGGAGGGTATCATCTACCTCCTGCTCCTTGGTGAGTTCTGCCTAGTCTACTGGCAAGTCCTCCACTACAGCCCTGGCTACCTGGTAGGTGGCCAGCCTACCCTCCCCCTGCCTGGTGTGGATACGGGAGAGAGTGTCCGGCACAATGTACTTTCCTTTGTGGTAACGGATGGAGAAATTGAAGCCTTGCAGCCATATGGTCCACTGGGTCAACCTCGAAAATGGTTTAGGGTGGTTAAAAACCCAGGTGAGCGCAGCATGGTCTGTGACTACCTGGAAGTGCCATCCCTCCAGGTACGCCCTCCACTTCTCGACGGCCCACACAACAGTGAGGCACTCCTTCTCTGATGTGGAGTAATTTCTTTCTGGCCCTCGCAGGAGTCTTGAGGCATAAGCAATGACATGCTCTTGCTCATTGATTTCCTGGGAAAGTACAGCACCAAGTCCCACCTCACTGGCATCAGTTTGAAGTTGGAAAGGTTTATTGAAGTCTGGGGAAATCAGGACTGGTGCACCTGCTTGATGTCCTCGAAAGCTTTCGTACACTCCTCAGACCATGCCCAGGTTCTTGCACAGCGGCTCTTTCAGTGAAGTGTGGAATGAACTGGTGGTACCACCCTGCCATCCCCAAGAACCTCTGCACCTCTTTGACAGACTGAGGTTGAGGAAAGTCCTGCACTACCTCCACTTTACTGGGCTTTGTGCTTATGCCCTCCCTGGAGACCACGTGACCCAGAAAAGGTGAGAGATGTTTGCAGCAGGTTGCACTTTTTCAGGTTTAGCATTAGTCCTGCTTGATAGAGACGCTCAAACACTTCTTGGAGATGGTGGAAATGTTGCTGGACCGAGGAGTAGACAACAATGTCATCTATATAGATGAAGCATGCCTTCCCCTTCAGCTCTCTTAAAACTGTCTCCATCAGGTGCTGAAATCTCACGGCAGTGTTCTTGAGACCGAAAGGACGGACCAGGAATTCATATAACCCCTTGCATGTGATGAACGCCGACTTCTGGATACTGTCTCTCTCCAGTGTGACCTGCCAGTACCCACTCCTAAGGTCGAGGGTACTGAAAATGGTTGCACCATGAAGGGACTCTAGGATCTCCTGTACCTGTGGCATTGGGTACCCATCAAGGAGGGTTTTGGTGTTCAGTTGGCGATAGTCCACACAGAACCTCGTGCCTCGATCCTTCTTGGGCACCAGAACTACAAGAGCGGCCCATGGGAAGGTGGATGGTCGGATTATGCCTTTTCTGATAATATCCTCTATTTCCCCCTTGATGAACTATTGTTTCCCTACTGACACTTGGTAGGGCCTTTGATGGATAGGGAGTTCATCAATGGTGGTGATACGATGGAGAACCTTTGTTATTCGTCCCAGCTTGGTGGAGCACACCGATGGCCATTGGTGTAACAGATTTCGCAGCTGTTGCTTGTGATGGTCCGAAGCATCAGCCTTAGCTACCAGACATTCTACCTGTCGTTGTAACTCTATGTCAGCAGCTATTCTGACTGGATGGGCAACATAGAGATGCATGTTGACCGTAGGTGGTTGTTCATTGTTGAAGGTGTCAGCTATGTAGAATTGGGCCGAGAAACATCCTGGCAGGCAGTATGTGGCATTCTGGAAATTGATGTTGAGGCCAAATGAGTGGAGGAAATCCAGACCAGCGATGAGTGGAAATGCCAAGTCCATATGACCCATGATGTAAAATGAATGGTGCATGCGGTGGGTATGTAGCTGACAATCAAACTCCACCAGGCTTTTGGCAACTCGGGCCTGCCCGTCGGGCGAGTAGAAAGTTTTGCTCTCCGCATGGTCTCCACACCTCCTTCTTCCCCTTTAATGCTTTCCACAGAGACTCCTGCATCATAGAATAGGTACTGCCAGTATCAACCATGGCTGTGACCTTCTGACCTCTGACGATTAGCGGCAGTGTTAGCATCCCAACTGGAGATGGAGCAGGTTGGAGTATGCTGGTGTGAGTGGGTTCTGACCTGAGCCTTTCCTTGGAGATCTGGAGCCTTTCCCCTGCAGCATCCTGCTGTACCTGGTTCCAGTAATTCTTTGCAGTGGTCGGGTCCCTCTCCACCAGTGTTCAGACACTCACCAACTCATCCACTGTCTTAATCGTCCCCCTCAGTAGACTTGCCAGCCGAGGATTGCAGTTCCTCAGAATCCCTCTCAGTCAAGTCAAGTCAAATTTATTTGTATAGTGCTTTTTACAACTGATGTCACAAAGCAGCTTCACAGAAATCCATTAAGGACAAAGTTTTAACATGAAATGTAAATCCTCCAGGTGAGCAAGCCAGTGGTGACAGTGGCAAGGAAAAACTCCCTCAGAGCTGGGGAAGAAACCTTGGGAGGAACCAAGGCTCACAAGAGGGGACCCATCCTCCTCTGGTCAAACTACCTACAAAATTATTATACTACTAATATTAATAGTAGTAGTAGTAGTAGTGGTAGTAATAGTTAGGAGTGGGTAGGGTGGGGAGCTAGTCCAAGGCAGGTGGCAGTAGCTGGGCAAGTGGTGGTGACTGGGGCGTGGGCAACTGGTCTGAAGCGGGTAGCAGGAGAGCTCGACAGACAATCATCCATCAGTGTCCGGCCGGACAGGTGGGCAGTCGTTTACTCGGAAAAAAGGTAGGGAGATGGAGTTAGTTTTGTTCTGTATGGGTGTATGTATAATAATATGTAAAACATTTCCAGAGTGTTGCTAACGACTCCGGCAGATCTGACTATAACAGCTTAACTAAAAGGAGAGAACCAAAAGGGCACACAGACACGGGAGCACCCTGAGACAATCTGGCATCCCTCCGCTCCACCTTCCACAAACGTAGTGATCGCGTGTGAGCGGCGGGACGACAGCACCAGCGTCTCAGTTTACTATAATTCCCTGCGTCCATGGACCCCTGGATCTGCTGCCTTTTTATAAGGGGAAACACTAACTACCAAAAGCTAAACTAAACAAGTGAGTTTTCAGCCTAGATTTGAAGATTGCGACTGAGTCTGTGTCCCGAACATTTTCTGGAAGATCATTCCAGAGTTTGGGGGCTTTATAAGAAAAGGCTCTTCCCCCAGATGAAACCTTCTGAGTTCTGGGAACTATTTAAAGCCAGCACTCTGTGATCTGAGTAATCGTGGTGGCTCGTAATGGGAAATAAGGTCTTGTAGGTACTCAGGAGCGAGCCCATGTAGGGCTTTATCTGTCAATAAAATAATTTTGTAATCAATACAGAATTTAACAGGCAGCCAATGGAGTGATGATAGAACTGGACTGATATGATCAAACTTTCTAGTTTTAGTGAGAACCCTGGCTGCAGCATTTTGAACTAGTTGAAGTTTACTTAAATTCCTGCTGGTGCATCCTGATAGTAGTGCGTTACAATAGTCTAGCCTTGAAGTAATAAAGGCATGTACTAATGTTTCTGCATCATGCAGCGATAAGGCATTTCTTATTCTGGCGATATTGTGAAGATGTACAAAAGCTGTCCTAGTGATGCTGCCTATGTGTTGATCGAATGATAAATCTGGATCAAGTATGACACCAAGATTTTTTGCTGCTGAACCAGGTGTAACTGGGAAGTCAGCGAGATTTAAAGTTAAATCTGATAATTTATTTCTTGCCACTTTTGGACCCAGAAAAAGAACCTCTGTTTTGTTACTGTTTAGAAGGAGGAAGTTACACAACATCCAACCTTTCACATCTTTTACACAGTCCTCTATTTTCTTTAGCCTGTATTTGTCATCAGGCTTGGCTGATATCTACAACTGCGTAACAGTGAAAGTTAATGCCATGGTTACTTATAACTGTGCCTAACGGTAACATGTATAATGTAAATAATAATGGTCCTAAAATAGAGCCTTGCGGAATTCCAAATCTTAATTGTGAATAATTGGAAAGTCATTTACCTTTACGGACTGATAACGTTCCATTAAGTAAGATTTGAACCATGATAGGGCTGTCCCTGTGATTCCAACCATGTTTTCTAACCTTTCTAGGAGAATATTGTGGTCTATCGTATCAAAAGCTGTGCTGAGGTCAAGTAGCACCAACAGGGATATGTAGCCTTGATCAGAGACAAGAAGAAGATCATTTGTTATCTTAACTAGAGCTGTCTCAGTGCTGTGATGTGGCCTGAATCCAGATTGGAATTTTTCATATATGTAGTTCTTATGTAGATATGAACTAAGTTGTTGGGCTACAGCTTTTTCTAAGATCTTAGATATAAATGGTAGGTTAGAAATAGGCCGGTAATTAGACAATACACTAGCATCAAGGTTTGGTTTCTTGATCAGAGGCTTAATAACTGCTAGTTTAAAAGCTCTGGGTACATGGCCCAGGCTAAGGGACGAGTTTACTATAGTTAAAAGAGGATTAATGATAACTGGTAGCACTTCTTTGAGTAATTTTGAGGGAATTGCATCAAGTGTGCAGGTTGTGCAATTTGCAGAGGAGATAATCTTCTCTAGTTCTAGCTGTGGGAGTGGGTAGAAAGTTTCAAGCCTTTCTTCTGCAACTATGTTATGTTTTATATCAGCCATGTCAGATGACAGCCAAGTTGGATTTAATACTGTGGGTTGAATTTGCTGTCTAATATTTTCGATTTTATTATTAAAAAAGTCCATAAAAACTTCACTGGTGAGAGTCGCCGGAATTTGTGGTTCAATACCTGCCTGATTTTTTGTAATTCTGGAAATCGATTTTGTAATTCTCAATCCAAGGTTATGAAACACTGCTATACAGTATTATTATAAACAAAATTGCCACCCCTAACATGGTGTCAGCTGACATCACTGTAATGATGTAATGTTAAAAGTCAGATGAGTGACTGATTAAAAGGGACAAACTAGCCATTCATGTGTCAGTGGGAGGATTCATGCTTTAGTATAAAAATACAAGTCAAAAAGCCAAATCGGTCAGTTCAGCATTTGACGACACAGTTTCTACAAACAGACCTGCATTTGCTACAGATGGATAACCTCACAGTTCAGTACTGCTTTCCTGACAACAACTTATCTTGCCAAAAGGAGGTTCGAGCAGGCTCTATGAATATATTTTTGTGTTTTTTTCTCTCATGTATATCTGTGTGCACTGTGTTTTTGAACCTGCTGGTGATCATCTCCATCTCTCACTTCAAGCAGCTCCACACTCCAACCAACCTGCTCATCCTCTCTCTGGCTGTGGCAGATCTTCTCGTGGGATTGATTGTTATGCCAGTGAAAATAATGGAGCTTAATAACTCTTGTTGGTATCTTGGAAAAGTGGCATGCATTGTTTCTGAAATAATCACTGGCCTCTTAATGTTTGCATCTCTCTGTAGTCTGGTTTTCATTGCAGTTGATCGGTACATTGCTGTCAATGACCCTCTACTGTATTCCAGCAGAATCACAGTTTGTAAAATGTCTGTTTGCATAGTTCTTGGTTGGTCTTTCTCTCTATTTTATAATGTAATTTATTTTTACTTTAATAATCATCTTCTGCCGTCTCAGATTTACATTAGATGTTATGGTGAGTGCGTAGTGTTTCTAAAACATTCTTGGTTGATTATTGACCTGGTCATTTTTTTTCTAGTCCCCTGCTCCATTATACTGATCTTGTACTCAATCATTTTTAATGTTGCGAGACGACAAGCCAAAGCTGTTAGAGCTGTGATGAATATAATCTCACAAAAAGTTTCAAGCTCTTCTGAAACCAAAGCTGCAAAAACACTAGGAATTGTAATATTTGTTTATCTTGCTTGCTGGATACCTTATTATGTAAGCTCTCTGTCAGTTGAAAGTGTCACATCTTTGTCGATGGTGTGGAATGTGTTTGGGTGGCTAATATGCATTAACTCCTCTGTGAATCCATTAATTTATGCCATAGTCTACCCATGGTTTAGAGAATCAGCTAAGTATATTTTATCATGTAGAATATTTGAATCCTCATCGAATCTGAAGGTTTAATTTGCTCCCCCGTTGTTTTTAACTTTAACCTGGATTCCTACTGACAAGCCACTTCCCAATTGTTATGCCCACATTTAGGACATATTCTTAGACAAAGCATGGAAACTACTTTTGCTTTATTTTTGTAGTTTTAGACTGCATTACACAGCACCATTGAATGTGATTTTCTAACATTTAATAGGACTAATGATGATGGAGGAAAGGCAAAGATGATTTTGCCATACAGCTGAGGCAGACACATGCCTTGTTTTTGATCCTTCAGACTGCCTTCTAATTTCTTTGTAATTTTCTTTGTAATTTCAAGTCATAAAAGTTTCTTATTAGAAATAATAATAAAAAAAAACTAATAAAAAGATACTATTTAACAAATTTAAATGTCCGTTAGCTAGATAGGCCCTTGATTTGGAACAACACTATGGTGGAGTTTCAAGGTGGGCAGGGATGTAGATACTTACCAGAACCCAGCTAAGGTCTTGTAAGATATACCAAATGACCTTTTCTTTTATTGTGATTTTTCCATTTTAAATTGTCTTTGTACTGTTTTATTATATTTTTTAAATTACTACTCCTGTACTGTGTACTACTGCCCTACTGTATTATTTTTCATTTTTCATGTGTTTTGTTTCCTCAGTTTCTTTTTATTTTTTTTTATTTTTTACTCTTGCATTACTTGTTTCCTTTGTTATTTTGAAATGTACAGTATGTCACAACAGAGGACTGCAAGTAAAGAATTTGGCAGTCAAGTACAGAGAAAATATCATTGCATACTGTCCACCCTGTAGGCTTTTTCCTGATATAGTATCTCACTCACTGCAATGCCATGCTTCATGTGCTCCTCATACGATGTCACCTTCTTTGATAGACATTGTAAAGAAAACACTTTTTGGGATTTTGGAGTGTTGTGCTCCTCCTGCATACAAACTGCTATCCCTGAAACAACAGAAATCTGCCACTGCACTGATTTATTGGTTGTACAGGCTAAAAAATGCAGAATGCAATAAATAAATACTGCATAGAACAGAGCCTGGGCAAGTGAAGTCTTCCTAATTTGATTCAAAAATCTATAAAAATGATTATTTGCAGAAATAATGCAGATAATTTGCTTGACTTGATTGAAATAAGCAACTGCAGCTGGAAATAGGATACTTTCATCAAATAAATCTATTGAAAATAATTTTTAAATAAACTTAATCTAATAATATTCTTACAGCAGTCTCAAAAAAGATTTTCTTTGCACACATTTAACTACACTTATTAAGGAAAAGCTTAAGTTTGGCAACGGAGAGTGCAGCCAAAAATTCCCCAAGGTACTTCCAGCAGGCCATCTAAATACAAAACACAGTGGTCTTTTGTAAGGCCAGCTAGCACCCACCCCACTAGCCTCACAGAAAATGGCAGGCCAGTAGTAAATATGACTGTGCTGTATAGTACATGACACATATCAAAGCCAAAGAACATACATCAAAACTGCACAAACTCCACTTCCCAGCACCCTGAACCACATAGAGCCATGTATCAAGGACAAAGAACATACCTCAAAACTGCACAAACTCCACTTCCCAACACCCTGAACCACATAGAGCCAGTGACTTAGTCGAGAGCGTGGCCAATGCAGTGCCACAGGTATACGTCTAGCTTGGGGATAGTGTTAAGACTGAGGTAATCAACACAAAACTGGCAAGTACCATCTTTCTTAACCAACACAGCTGCTGCTTCTCAGGGGCAACTAGATCATAGATGAGACTTCGATAATCGCATGCTGAATTAGTGCCTCACATGGCCCACCAGGTAGTTGTCAGTGTGGGGCCAGAGATATGCAGGCCAGGCACCCCTAAATGAAATTTTCCACTGGTGCTGGCTCATGGCATGCTTTGTGGCCTGTCTTTCAGGAGTGTCAGCAAACCAGCTGTGATGAAGGCAACTGACTAGCCTTGCACTTTTTCTCCTCTCCTGAATTGCTGCAGTCCTCAGTAGTACAACAGGGCATCTGGCGGCATTAAGTCAGACATGTCCAACTGGGGACCTTTTGGGCCATAGTCTTGCAGAGATTAGAGTTTACTCTTGCAGAGATTAGAGCTTACCTAATGTGGCAGTGTGCTGAAGTCTGCAGTGTTTTGGCCCGGGCAGACTGGAGTCTGACACATGTAGGGAAGATGAGAAAATTCATGCTTGTAAAGGAACATGCTCAAAAACCAAACCTTCCAGTTCAGTATTTCTGAACACCACAGTTGGATTCATCCAAAGTAGCAGATCTGCTTCTATTTCAGAAGGAGAACACAACAGTTCAACACAATACAATATGTACAATAATACAGTAATTTACCTTGCAGAACAGAGGTCCAACAGGCCCAACTTAAATGTATTTGATAATTTTATCTTGTATATCTGTAACAGTGGATGGCTCACCAGACTGACAGAAGCGAACCCAAGCTGTCTGAGTTGTATTCCAGGGCCTACCAGGTGAGCCAACTCAGGTTTTAGGGACACAGGATCCAATGTGTGTTTTCTTCTCTGTGCTTATAAAGGCCTCTGCCAAGGTGTAGGGTATTGGGCTTGATTGGACATGGGAGTTGTGTGTTGTCTCCCTTTGCTGGTCGGGCGCGCTGCAGCCTGGAGCCAGCCCTTACACAACCCCCTCCCCGAGGAACGGAACCTGATGTTCCCAACCCTTGCAGCCCAATCCCGCCAGAGTGTCTGGATAAGCTCACGACCCAGGATGCGGCCGTAGCCCTCCCAGTCGACCAAATACTGGGTGCTTCCCCACACCCGCCAGACATTGAAGTGTGCCATCAATTATTTGAGGGGCAGGGGAGGCTCACAACTGTGTTCCCCTAGACATCTTGTGGGAGGTCCTCCAGGAGTATGGGGTGCTGGGGCTACTACTCCAGGCCATTCAATCTCTGTACTCCCGAAGTGAGAGCTGTGTTTGTATACTTGGCATTAAGTCAAGCTTGTTCAGTGTTAGTGTTGGACTCCACTTGTGTTCATGATATTTACAGGCAGGGTGTCAAGGCATGGCCAAGGTCAGGAAGACATTATGTGTGAAGGCCGGAGGGTGGTGTCTCTGCTATTTGCAGATGATGTACTTTTGGCTGGATCACATGGATGCATCCAGCACTCACTGGAGCTGTTTGCTGCTAAGTGTGAAGGAGTTGGCATGCGGATCAGTCCAAGTCTATGGTCCTAATTCAACATAAAATAACCGCATATATAATTAGATGCAGAGATTGTGTTAATTTCTTTTCACTTTACAAAAAAAAACAACAACAAAAAAAAAACACAACAACAACAACAACAACAACATAAAGGTGCCCAAACATTTTGCAACATTTTACATTTTGATCAACTGTATAGAGGTTCACTCTGTTCACCCCCCACACTTTTATATTAGATATGTGGTGTTGGGGTGAACCCGAGGGGAGTAAAAGTGTGAAGGTGCTGTGTTCTTCACTCTGTTCTCCTCCTACATGGCCTGCTGTGTGTGTGTGTGTGTGTATATGTGTTTGTATATGTGTCTGTGTGTGTTGGTGGACAACATGGACAGGCTACTGACTGGCTATAGCTGCTTAAGGAGAACCCTACGCTGGCCACTTGTGATATTTTAAACATTTCGTATTTTTACATAAATTGTTATGGCTGTATTGATTTGATAAACAATGTGGTGGGTCCACCAGACCACTGAATAACAAACGCATCAACACCACACAAGGGTTAAAAGATCATTATACCTAACAAGTTGAAAGTCAGAGTTCAAAACACACTTGGACTAAAATGATTTTGCTCTGAGTGACCATCTAAAGTAATTATTTTTTATTTTATTAAAATAAATGATTAAATATTCAATTACATCACTACCAAAACAATAATAACACTACTTAAACTTTACCAGATATTTCAGTAGTGACCCTTTTGGTTGTGATAATTCTAGCTCATTTTGAGTAGAACTCAAAAATGATAGTCAGTACATGACTAGCAAACACAGCTTTGAACAGCTGCACACACACAAATGATTATAATATTCATCCTTACAACACAAAAAGTTGCAGAAAATATGTATTTCGGTAGTGACGGTTCTTAATGATCCTCACTGATTTTCAGACTTTGGGACACATTTACTTTAAAACAATGGGATCTAACTGCTCACCATGTGGCCATGAGGGATGCAGTCTCACTACTCGCTCTGACATGCAGGATTGTGGCTAAAATAAGGCTCCGATTTAAATTAAGCTCATGATAAATGTAAATATGTCAACTTCACTTCAAAAGAAATCAAGAATATCTTTAAAAAAAAGGAAAGAATGCACAAAAACAAACAAACTGTACTGTGTTATGTTTTCAAGTATAATTTTCATGAGTGCAAATGTAGGCTTTGGGACAAGAAAAAGTGTCCTGGCTCACTGCCTATTCCACCTCTGCTACTGAACTGAAATTTGTCTTGCCCGGAGCAGTGGGCAGCCCTATCCACAGCGCCCGGGGATCAGTTGGGGGTTAGGTGCCTTGCTCAAGGACACCTCAGTCACATGCTGTCAGCTCTGGGGATCAAATTGGCAATCTTCCGGTTACAGGGCCAGGACCCTAACCTACAGCCCATGCCTGTCTTGACCCAAACTGGCTCAAAGACTAGTTAAACTCTGCTACTGTAGTGAAAGGTGTAGCTACTTGTGGCCTAGTCAAACTGCAGTAGCGCGGTGAACACTGTCTCTGCTTGCGGCCGAGTTAATCTCTGCTACCACAGAGACAAGTATCCTGGCTTGCAGCCTTTCAGACTCCATTACAACACTGAAAAGTGTACCAGCCTGCAGACAGTGCAAATCTCTGGCTTTCGACTCTGCATTCAGCTAACAAAGTAAAAAAGAATCAACATGTGTAACGAGGCAGAATAACTTAGACACTCACGGTTAAAAAAAGAGAGTAACGCTTTAATGTTTGAGTTGTAATCCAAAAACGTGGTCAAAAAACCGGCAAAGGTCGAATCCAGCAAAGACACGAGACACCAAAAGACAAACAAAGTCCAAAGGCAAAAAGTCAAAACAGCAACAGAGATGGAGTCCCTAGAGACGTCTGAGCCTGAGCGATGCGTGGCAAAATGACTGTCAGCAATCCTATGTATTTTTTTTTTTTTAATGTTGCACTACATTCAAATTATTCTGAATGACTGTTTATATTATGATAACCCAACATAGTGGAATTTTTGATGAAATAGTGGATTTTCAAACAACATTAAATCATACTTGTGGCCAAGAACTTGCCATTCAAAAAAAAAATACTACAACAGTTACAATATGTCAACAACAGTTAAATAAGCCTCTGTGTTCTTGGTGAACGTAAAAGTAAATTACATTCTCATTTTTTTCCTTCTGGTTGTTCTGATTTCTCTGTCTATTTTAAAAGTAACTAAAGTGAATTCCCGTACATCACTACTGTTTGATGATATTCCATTGAGTCATTCAGTGTTTTATATCCTTTTCAGTAGATGGTTCCCCACCTAAGTAATGATGTTGCGTTGAATATCAGGCAAGTGAGTGATGTAAGAGACAAACTAGCCAATCCCATGTAAGTTGAGAGATTCATGCTTAGGTATAAAGTATCATGTCTCAAAGGCAAATCTCTCAGTTTAGCTTTACTGAACACCACTTCTGGATCAGTTCCTGTTAGCAGATCCATATCTGTATCAGATGAATAACAAGGACTATTCGCAAAACCTCACAGTTCAATACTGCTTTCCTGATAACAACTCATCTTGCAGGAAGGAGGTGCGAACAGGCCCTGCTTATATATTATTGTTCATTGTTCTCTCATGTGTGTCTGTGTTCACTGTGTTTCTGAACCTGCTGGTGATCATCTCCATCTCTCACTTCAAGCAGCTCCACACTCCAACCAACCTGCTCATCCTCTCTCTGGCTGTGGCAGATTTTCTAGTGGGACTGTTTGTTATGCCTGTGAATGTAATGCAATTGAAAGACTCATGTTGGTATCTTGGAAAAGTGGCATGCACTGTTTTTCCACTGATCAGTAATCTTTTAATGTCAGTATCTCTCTGTAGTCTAGTTTTCATTGCAGTTGATCAGTACATTGCTGTCTGTGACCCTCTACTTTATTCCACTAGAGTCACAGTTTGTAAAACCTCATTGTTAATAATTCTGGGCTGGTCTTTAAGTCTGTTTTATATCCTCCTGTATATGTGCTTTAATGATCATCTCCTTCAATCTCAGATATCCACTGAGTGTTATGGAGAGTGTGTCCTGGTCCTGAAATATTCCTGGGTGATGATTGACCTAGTCTTTTCATTTCTGACCCCTTGCTCTGTTATACTGGTCATGTATTCAATCATTTTTAATGTGGCAAGACGTCAAGCTAAAGCTGTTAGAGCTGTGCTGAACGCTGCCTCACAGCAACATGGGACAAAAGTTTCACACTCTTCCAAAACCAAAGCTGCAAAAAAATTAGGAATTGTCATTTTTGTTTATCTTGCTTGTTGGATACCATTTTATTTAAGTTCTCTGACAGTTGAAAATGTGACATCTTCATCAATAGTGTGGACTGTGTTTGGCTGGCTGACTGTTATGAACTCCTCTATAAACCCACTAATATATGCCATTTTCTATCAGTGGTTCAGAACATCAGTTAAGTATATTGTAACCTGTAGAATATTTGAAAACTCATCTTCAAGGTTTAATTTGTTTTCTGAAGGTGTTTAGTTCCAGACTGACTCCAAAGCTGGGACCACATTTACGACAAATAGAAAATCATGTCCCACCCCCTTCTCACCTCAGCTTGACTCTTTGATATAATCATTGTAATTTCGGGTCACAATGTTTCCCCATCACATTAGAGCCCAGATTGATACATTTATATATAATGTCTTTGTGTACCATTAAGGATCATTTATACATTAAATTTAAAATTCAATTTAAATAAAATTGAAATAAATGTAGATATATTTGTACTCCTGTAATAATATGTACAGTTTATAATACTGAATAAAAGCTGAGCGAATTATATTTACATTTATTTATTAGGGTATGAAACTTGAAGCAGAAGCATTTTTTTGTTCTTTGTTAATTATATACATTTTAAAATAAATACAAATCAGATGCAATCATGAAATTAGATTTGTTAAATCTTTAAACTTGTATTCATGTTGCATGGAAGGCAACTTTATGGCTTATCTGATGAAGAAAAAATGCACTATAATGACATTTTCAAAAGACCATTTAACCTAACAAGTTGAAAGCACACTTTGACTGACTTGGATGTAGATTAAAATGATTTTGCTCTGAGTGACCCTATAACTTAATTATTTTATTTAAATGAATGTTTGAACATTCAATTTTGTCACTACCAAAACAATTATAACACTACTCACACTTTACCAGGTGTTTCAGTAGTGACTGTTTTGGTAGTGATAGTTTTAGGTCATTTTGAATAGAACTCAAAAACAGTAGTCAGTACATGACTAGAATACACAGCTTTGAGTAGCTGCGCACACAAATGATTATAATATTTATACTTACAACACAAAAGGTGCAGAAAATGTGTATTTCAGTAGTGACAGTTCTTAATGATCCTCACTGATTTTCAGACTTTGGGACACATTTACTTTAAAACAATGGGATCTAACTGCTCACCATGTGGCCATGAGGGACAGGGATGCAGCCTCACTTCCTGCTTTCACTAAAATAAGGCTCCAATTTCAAAACTAAGCTTATGATATATATGTATAACTTATATATATGTATAAGAAAGTGCAAATTTAGGCTTTGGGACAGAAACTTCCCAAAAGAAAGTATCATAAAATATATATTGCACATTACTATTGCAATAATTAATGCTTTGGGCTTAAACAGATCATAACGTAATTCTTGTTAATAATAAAAGGTCTGAACTCAATAGTTTATTTATTTATTTATTTATTTATTATTTATTCAAATAGAGGGACTGCAGTTTTAACTAAGATCCAGATTTGATCCAGAAGGAAGCAAATTCTATTAACCTCCTTGACCAATAGTTTCTTTTTATGATTACATAAGTGTCGCCTAATTTAGTAGCATTGACTATAGGAGGAAATACACAAAAAAATAAAAATAAAAAATAAATAAAAAAAATACTAAAAAAGCCTAAATAATATATAATATAATATATATATATATATATATATATATATATATCATATATATATAACACACACACACACACACATACATATACATATATATATAAAAAAATTACTTTCTCAGTATTTCAGAATCTACTTATTCAATTACTTAAACATTTCTAGTCTACAATTACCTATTCATGATTTTAATTTATTTATTTATTTGCTATATATGTCCCATTTTTATACACATATTTGGTCTTGCTTTTATTATTATTTTATTTCATTTATTCATATTTATCTCATTTTATTTTATTTTTACTTACTTACTTAGACACATTTGGTCCTCTATAAAAGTCTCTTGCATTTTAGTTTTGTATATCTGAGAAGTGAACTGCAGCGCCCCCTCTAGGGCATGTGCAAAAATGGATGACCGCTTCCCTTCCTGATGCAGTGGTCAAAACTTAATCTATGCCTAAAGCCCTTCAAGGCTCCAGGATAGCTTGGCTTGACCCATCTTTCTTCAGGACATGATAGACAAGCATAAAGACTCTTCTCTGTCCTGACACTGGTGATGGTAAAACTTTCACTGACTGTCTGAACAGCAGACTCCCTCACTGTCTTCAGTGCCGTGAAGCACTTAAGCAAACATTGATCTAACACTGATCTGAAATGTATTGTGCTGTGCTTGTGCTATGTCTAATTTCTGTATGTTGAATCTTTCTTTCTATGTATCAGCACTGGCTTTTGCTTCTGGCAGCGCTTTAGCCCAAGAGAAGTTCAGATTTACAGTTGGTAAATGTTAGGCTAATGTTAGCCAGATAGTTAGCTTGCTAATGTGTGGCATATAATAGAAATACAGTGCTCCATGTGAATTTCAGGCAAAATATCCTTACAATGTAAATATCTTAGCTTTTTTATTTATTTATAATTCTTTATTTTGATTTTGTTTTTTTTTTTGTGAAGGATAACGTTTTATATTTATCTTTTTTATGTTTAGTTTTAATATATATGGTCTATATAGTAACAAGTAACAAACTGTAAAAAACCTTGTTAAGTACTTAACAAAGTTAATTACTTGCTTGTTAATTCTCTTCTTGTTACTTCTTCTCTTTTTCTTGAGTGCCCTGCTCTCCCTTTGCTGCTGTAACACTGAGAATTTCCCCGTTATGGGACTAATAAAGGATTCTCTTATCTTATCTTAAGAGCCTTTTAGTTTTGTTTCTCAGAGGACTCCGTCAGGGATCAATAAATGACCTTTTAAAGCGATGTTCTACGAGTTTTACGCAAAGGTACGGTGAAGAAGTGGGGTTCATTAGAGGTTCTTTTAAGGTCTTTTGCATTGGTGCAAAAAATCCTTTTGGGTCTGACTTTTATAGATTTCATAAGGCAGGCATCCCTGATGGTTGGTCACTCCGGTTACAGCAAATCCTTGTTGCCCTCACCTGACCGTCACTGTAATAATGTAATGTTGAATGTCAAATGAGTGATATTAGAAAAAAAGAAAACTAGCCACTCATACGTCAGTGAGAGGATCCAACTCATGTATAAAGAGACATGGCAAAAAGCCAAATCTGCCAGTACAGCAATGCTGGATGACACAACGAAATATATGTAAACTGGCAGCCTTGCGTCTAATTTAGATGGATAAGACAAACTACGGGCAAAACATCACAGTTCAGTACTGCTTTCCTGACAACGACTCATCTTGTAGAAAGGAGGTCCGAACAGGCTCTACTGATATATTGTTGTGTGTCTTTCTCTCATGTGTATCTGTGTGCACTGTGTTTCTGAATGTGCTGGTGATCATCTCCATCTCTCACTTCAAGCAGCTCCACACTCCAACCAACCTGCTCATCCTCTCTCTGGCTGCGGCAGATCTTCTCGTGGGGTCTGATTGTTATGCCTGTGAATATAATGAAATTAAGAGACTCCTGTTGGTATCTTGGAAAATTGGCATGCTCTATTTCTGAGCTAATCACTGGCCTCTCAACAGCAGCATCTCTCTGTAGCCTCATTTTAATTGCAGTTGATCGCTACATTGCTGTCTGTGACCCTCTGCTTTATTCCACTAGAGTCACAGTTTGCAAAATGTCTGTGGTGATAATTCTTGGCTGGTCTTTTTGCCACTTGTACATGATCATCTATTTTTACTTTAATGACCATCTTCTTCAATCGCAGATATCCACTAGATGCTACGGAGAGTGTGTAGTGTTTATAAAATATTCCTGGATGATTACTGACCTGGTAATTCTTTTTCTTGCTCCTTGCTCTATTATACTGGTCTTGTACTCAATTATTTTTAAAGTGGCAAGACGTCAAGCTAAAGCTGTTCGAGCTGTGATGAACACTTCAATCAAACAAGGGGACAAAGTTTCAAGCTCTTCTGAAACCAAAGCAGCAAAAACACTTGGAATTGTTATTTTTGTTTATCTTGCTTGCTGGATACCATTTTATATAAGTTCTCTGTTAAGTGAAAATGTAACTACTTTATCAATGGTGTGGACTGTGTGTGTCTGGCTAATATGCATCAACTCCTCTGTGAATCCGTTAATTTATGCCATATTCTATCCATGGTTTAGAGCATCAGTTAAGTATATAATCAGTTGTAGAATATTTGAATCCTCATCTTCAAGATTTAATTTGCATAGAGAACATTCTTAACTTAAGGCCCATGTTCAGGTTAGTGTTGTGAACACAGGCCTAGAATATCTGTTTACTACTGCATCTGTAGTGTAAACTCTACTACACAATCCTGTAGGGATGTTTTTAATATCACTCTGTCATCTCTTATAATGATTTTTATTGTGCTTATATGTGCGTACAATGCAATATTACATTTTTTAGCGTTTTATGGCTGTTCAGTTTGAGTTTAGTTTGACGAGATCAAGTGATGTGCTGTTTATTTACTTAACCTGTAATGATGTGCCAGAAAAAAAGATGAGCATGTAATGATAAATGAGCAAATTCATGACTTAACATATTTATGCATCACCAAAATTATGGGCTTATAACCAATAGGACACGTTTCTTTCTCTCAAAAAAGGTACTAAACTTGCTAAGAATATTAGAAAATGTATCATTCTTGTTTAAATGACGTATCATTTGATATTAACTGGTTGAGATTTGTGTTGTTTAATTATAAAAGCATTTATACGCATTATGAGCTTACTATAAGTAATGCAATCTGCTAAAGGTAAACCACTACTTTACATGATAAATAAACCCTTTTGTAAAAGCATGGCCAAAACAAAAGTATGTATTCTCAGTTTAAATAAATATGCAACAAACTAATAGTTTAATACATTTGCTAAAATAATTGGGGTAATCATTTTGCATGACAGTGCAATTTCAAGTCATTACTTTGTATATTTAAAAATCATTAGTTACTATAGTTTTATATTGTCTAACTTATCTATTCACCATTATTTAATAATGATGTGTCCCACCAAGTTGATGTGAATATATGTGGGTAATGTATTAATTTATCATGAACTTATGTACAGGGTGTAACCAGAAAACATATACCAAAATATACAGACAATATATATATATATATATATATATATATATATATATATATATATATATATATATATATAT